CTCAAAAAAATTCATCTATCAATAAAACTATCGATTACGTTTAAGTTACCTTGTCGTGTCATCATATCATATATATAAAAATGAATAAATATGCATATACTTACAAGCTAAATTACTTTTTAAATCTATACAAATTTCGCGTATCACTTTTCCGAGGCAGTATCCAAAAAGACGTTTCCAAAAAAATCTCAACATTTATTTAAAAAATCGTCGTTTGCCTTTCGATAATATCATAAATATAAAAAATGTGTAAAAAAGTCTAAAATAAACCCTTGTCCTTTTTGACCTTGGTCTGTTTCCACGTGGGCAGTTCGTTGAATTCCTCCTTGGTCAATCCTAAGAGTTCCTTGAAGTATCTTGGCTCCAAATAGAGTTCTAGTCTTGTAGGGTCTACACCTTCGGGTAGAGGTCTTTGGAGGAGGATATCTGGATGGTAGGTGGAGCAGGTCAGTTGAGACAGCTCGCCTTGGAGGGATATTGGCTCGCCTGCTTTCTTTCCCTCCTGTTAACAGATAAAAATGGTAAAAACAATCTGGAGAGTAAAGAAGTTTTACTTCAAAATATTTGAAATCTAGTTTTGTGGCATGTGGGGTGTCGTTTGAAAGGACTCGACGAGTAGAAAACGATTATAAAAAAAATATATTATACTACTCAGGTACTATATATATATATATATATATATATATATATATATGTATATTATGTCATAAGCAAAATGCAAAGTCGATGCAAAACGTAAAAACTTTTCAAAATTTTGCATATTCTTTCATTTCCGACCGTTTATCAATTCATTTAAAACAAAACGTTTCATTTCCGACTGTTTTAAATATTATTTAAAACAAAACGTTCAGCGAGTCTAAAGAAGTTTTACTTCAAAAATTTTAGTGTGTCTTTTTTATGGCATGTGGGGTATCGTTTGAAAGGTCTCGACGAGTATAAAACGATTTTTATAAAAAAACGGGTAATTTGTAAAAAAACATTATATATTATTAAAACAACAAATATTAGTTTGTTAAAGTTCATTGAAAACAATTTTGAAATGTGTGAGGTGTGAAACCTTTGTAACGAGAACTAAATATAGATTTGTGATTTGTTAAAAAATTACACTTTTAATGATTTTTTATCAAACGAGTTTAAAGAAGTTTTACTTCAAAAAATTTTGAATGTAAATTTTATGGCATGTGGGGTATCGTTTGAAAAGTCTCGGCGAGTAGAAAACGATTTTTATAAAAAAAATTAATATGCCATAATAAAAACATAACATATATTATTATATTATTCATATAAAATATTGCATTGTTAAATATTATTGAAAAGCTGTTTCAAATGTGTAAAGTGTGAAGCAATTTTAGCAAATACTAAAATTAACTATGTGATTTGTCCAAAAAATCACACTTTTAATGATTTTTCAATAAAAGAGTCTAAAGAAGTTTTACTTCAAAAAATTTAGAATGTAAATTTTATGGCATGTGGGGTATTGTTTGAAAGGTCTTTTAAAATAAAATCCAAATATAGAAACATTCTAAATTTTTAATTTTCTCTACAAAAAAAAATTCTACAAGAATATAATTTTTCTTTTTTTTTTTTATTATTTTATATATATAAAAAAAAATGAATAAAACTCGGTCCTAATATTATTGAAAAACTGTTTCAAATATGTAAGGTGTAAAATGCTTGTAGCAAATACTAAAATTAACTATGTGATTTGTACAAAAAAATTACACTTTTAATACATTTTTATGAAACGAGTCTAAAAAAGTTTTACTTAAAAAAAATTGATTCCATCTTTTTTTTTGGCATATGGGGTATCGTTTAAAAGGTCTAGACGAGTAGAAAACGAATTTTACATAAAAAGTGTATATTGTGATAAAAACACAACATATATTATTATATTATTCTAAAAAAAATATTACATTGTTAAATATTATTAAAAAGCTGTTTCAAATGTGTAAGGTGCAAAACGCTTGTAGCAAGTACTAAAATTAACTATGTGATTTGACAAAAAAAATTACACTTTTTATGAATTTTCATTAAACGAGTCTAAAGAAGTTTTACTTCAAAAAATTAAAATTCTTTGTCCTATAGCATGTGGGATATCATTTGAAAGGTCTTTTTCAATAGAATAAAAATAGTGTACAAATTCTAAATTGCTCATTTTTTGTACAAAAGAAAATTAAAAAACTCTTCTAAAGATATCAATTGCTGAAGAAATTAAAACTAGCAAAGCAAGTTGGTTAAAAAAAATGAATAAAAATCGGTTTTTTATCTCACCTTCATGTTGATTTCCGCAATATCGTCCCTGTCCTGCCAAACCGGGAACAAATTCGTAAACTCCAAAGGCTCCAATCCAGCCCACACCAGATATCCCTTAACATCCTTCGCAGAACCATGTTTGACCTTCCAATAATCGACAGCAGTCTGCATAGCAGCCCTCCTTTCAGCCTGCCAACGAACAGCACCAGAACCAGTCTGGTCAGACCCCAAAAGTGCAGAATCAGTATCATCGTCCATATCTTGTCCAGGAGGCCACCAGCCTTGCCATAACCATAGAGACGTCTCGTTGTCCAGTAAAAATATCGCAGGTTGGCTGACCGAGTATAGGTCTCTTTGGGAGAACGGAAATGGAGTGTGCAGGGTATCATGACGTAGAGGACATAAAATTTCTGTTGGTTCGAAGGTTCCAGAGATGCTCGATAAGTGGAAGAGTCTTGGTGTGTAGTCGAATGTGTTGGTTGTTGATTTGATCATGGATACGTAAAGTTTACGGTTGCAACCGCCCAAGGCTTCCAAAAATGTATTGTTTTCGTTGCCTTCAGTGGTTTCTGATAAAGTCACTTTTTGGTTGACGATGCAAATAAGTCTTGGGGTTTGGTGCTTTGCAATCTTGTAGCAGCCGCGCGTGCGACTTCTTTAACGTGCTTCAAACTGCGTGCACCATGCCAAACCACAATAGTGTTATTTTCAGTATCCACCAAGACCAAAGAAGCCCTGCTTCGTAATTGGCGCATACTACAAGGCACTTCTTCTAAAACAGCCTCGTTTTGCACACAACCCCTACAAGTGTATAGTCTATACCTATCACTCCGAGTCTCACCGCGTTTACCCTCATGCACAATCATACCGCCTGAGAACAAGTTGACAAACGCCGGGGGCTCTCGGCCTTGTGCAACCCGGATTTGAGGTCCTCGTTCTTTGTCTAATTGTACAGTCATTAAGGCTGCAGCACCTTTATCAATATTTGTGGCGGTGCGTCCTTGCCAACAAAAATAGGCACAACGATCACGCCCGGATAGGGAATGCCGGGACGGCTTACCCCCCAACTCGCGACCGGTGACAGAAACTAGGTACTGCCACCGGACGACGTAACCATCACCGGAATAGAAATGCCCGATTTTGGAGTCATCCAACTCGCTGGATTTGTATTCTTGCACCCTCCACACCGTGACCTTAACAGTAGTAATCTCACAACGCTTGCCCAACTCTTCGTTGAAATGAAAGTCACCGCGTCCGACTTCATCGGTTTCTAGTTTCAGCGAGGGCAAGGATGGTTTAGTGTCGATCATTGTTTTGGCATTGCACGGTGATAAATCTATAGTAGCATCCGCGCACTTTTCCTCACCGTTGTCTAAAGTTTTAGACTGGATCACACGCGAAAAATCAGGCCAGTCCAAAAACTTCTCGCGAAACAGCACAGTTTCCATATGCTGATTGATTTTACCAATCAAAGCCCATTCAGGCCTAGTATCACTCTTCTTAGCCTTCACCACATCATCATCACGCATACCCCGATCACCTAATAACTCCGTCACGTTCAAAGGACACACATCACAATTCGAGTAATCATAGCCTTCGGCCCATAATTCTTGGGCTAGTTTCAAAGCACTTTTTCGGTCATCGATGCTGGCGGTTTTGCCGTTCCACACGTACATCTCGGAACCAAAATCGAACACCAGGATTTTACTTGGGTCCAGCATTGATATTCTGGGAATGCCGCCCCAGTATTTTTCTAAGGGCACGAGTTCGTCGCCTTGGAGCTCGTACGCCATGTTGGTGTCGACTATGCCGGACTCGTACAACTCGTCTTCGTCGGGGTGACCGGCTTTGACGGGCTTGCCTGGGTAAGAAATATTAACTAGTAAAAATATTAATCAATTTAATACGGAAATTAATACGGGAAGTTCCAGCAAGCAAATTGCTGGAACTTCCCGTACCGTAATTAAAAATTCGAGGAATGCAAATAATCAATAATTGTTTTAAATAATTTCAATGGTCGACGAGCGTATTCTACTAACAACTTTTGTATATGTTTACAAGAACTTTGTCCATTTTTTTTTAAATTGTATATTTTTGATAAAATAGATTTTTTTTAAAAGATCGACAAATTTTTGAGAAAATTTTTTTGATTTTTTTTTATTTTTTTGAGAATTTAGAAATTTTTGAAGCAATCCGATTTTTTTTTTAAGTTTTCGAAAGATTTTTTATTGTAAGAAATTAGTATTTTTTTACATTTTGACATTTTTTAGAAATTCATATTTTTAAAGTTTTTTTTTGAAAATATTCATTTTTTTTTAAATTTCTAAATATTCTTTTTTGTAAGAAATGTTTTTTTTTCATTTTGACATTTTTAGAAATTCAGAATTTTGAAATTTGAAAATGTTGAAATATTTCGAAAATTTGATTTTTTTTTAAACTTTAATTTTTTTTTGAAAATGTCGAAATATTCTTTTTTGTAAGAAATCGTTTTTTTTATTTTGACAATTTTAGAAATTTGTTGTAATTTAGAATTTTAAAATTTGAAAATGTTGAAAAATTTCGAAAATTTGTTTTTTTTTTTGAAACTTTAAATACCCATTTTTTGATAATTTTGGTTTTTTTTGAGAATATTTGAATTTTTTTTTGAAAATTTCGAAGTATTAATTTTTGTAAGAAATCGTTTATTTTCTAAATTTTGACATTTTTAATTTTTTTTTGAAATTTGAAAATGTTGAACAATTTCGAAAATTTTATTTTTTTGAAAAATTTGAATTTTTTTGGATAAAATCCAATTTGTTTGAAGATTCTGAAATATTCTTTTTCATAAGAAATCATTTTTTTCAAATTCTGATATTTTTAGATTCTTCTTTGAAATTTAAAAATGTTTGAAAATTTTGAAAAATTTGATTTTTTTTGAAAATTTTAAATTTGTTTTTGAAAAATCCTATTTTTTCTTAAAAAAACTTCGAAATATTCTTTTCTGTAAGAAATCTTTTATTTTTTAATTGTGATATATTTCGAAAAAATTTTATATTTAGAATGTTGAAATTGAATGTTGAATGCTGAAAAATCTCGTAAATTTGAATTTTTAAAAATATTCGATTTTTTTTGAAAATTTCGACATATTCTGTATTGCAAGAAATCGTTTTTTTTTAAATCTTGACATTTTTAGGAATTTTTCGAAATTTAGAATTTTGAAAATGTTGAAAAATTTCGAAAATTTGATTTTTTTTTAAGAATTGGGATATTTTCGAAAAAATCCGATTTTTTTTGAAAATTTCGAAATATTCTTTTTGTAAAAAATCATTTTTTCGAAACTTTTGATTTTTTTTTTGAAAATTTTCAAAACTACGAAATTTTTTGTAAAATTAATGGAATGTTTTTTAAATTATTCAAAGCGGTTGATCCGTGTTCCCGAAATCGGCGACGAAAATTTGTATCCGAACATACATACACACACGCACGCACACACACACACATACATCCATTTTTTCTAAGGTATGCCAAAATGTTCAGAAACCTTTGAAACGTCGAGAAATGCAAAAATTTTCCTCTTCAATTTTTTTGCGATTACTATAACTTGCCCTACGGGAAGTTAATAATTGAGAGTGCATAACAGCTGGACCTGCATTTGCACCAGACCAAAAAAATGTAAACAGTTCTTCATTTAGTCAATACAAATAAAAGGTTTTTTGGATTATTCAAATCGGACCGTTCTGAATAACGATTTTTGGCTCCTTTTGCGTATCACGAAACGGCTAGACCTGCCTTTGCTAAAAACTAATCAGCACGTCTATTTATCAATACGAATAGAATGTTTTTTAGAAACCTTTGAAACGTGAAGATATATAAAAATTTTCATTTTCGATCAATTTCTTACCTCCTTCCGGACATCCAAGCAGCGTCCAAAACTTTTTAACACTCTGCCCAACCATCACCTTCTCCTCATTAATCGTGTAAACCTTAGCACCACTCGAACAACCCAAATCCTTCTTCTGCTGTATACACTGCACGATATCAGCGCCTCTAGACCTCTCGATAACATTCGAATATAATCCTAGATACAAGTAAACCTCATCGGGTGTCACCAGGACATAGGCGTCCCCAGAATTGATACTGGAGGCTACCGGTTCAACCAGCCTGGCCTGGACGTGTCTCCTGCCCTTGACTTGTATGAGCATTAGGGGTTTGTGAGGGACCATGGTGAACGAGGCACTGGCTGCTGCCTTTCGTAAGTTTACAGCTGTGAAGTCTTCTTTACTTGCTAATCCTGCTAAGGCTTCCACGGCCATGGAAGAGCCTTTAGCCACTGAGGAAAAGAAATAAAACTAGCTGGTATTGGTAATTTTGCCTTGAGGGAAGTTACATGAACTTCCTCCGAAATGTGTAAATATTCTACTTAATCAATAAAATTTAAAATTTAGATTTTTGAATTTTGAAAATGTAGAAAAATTTCGAAAATTAGATTTTGTTTTTGAAAATATCCGATTTTTTTTTAAACTTCGAAATATTCTTTTTTGTAAGAAAATTGTTTCTTTTTAATTTGGGATCGTTCAAGTATTACGTAAGCAGATTTATTACAATTATTTACCCCCCCTCCCCCTTGTCAGCAAAAGTTAAGCAAATTTCTTACCCAAAATGCCTAAAATAAGCAAATCAATAACCCCCCCGTCCCCCTATAGTGCTAACGTAATAGTTGAACGGCCCCTTTTGACATTTTTAGATTTTTTAGAAATTTGAAAATGTTGAAAAAATTATTCTTAATATTATTTACAACAAAACGTTCAGTGAGTCTAAAGAAGTTTTACTTCAAAACAATTAGATTCCAACTTTTTTGACATGTGGGGTATCGTTTGAAAGGTCTCGACGAGTAGAAAACGATTTTATATATATAAATTATTGATATATATAAATAATAGTATATTGTAATAAAAATAATAAATATATTATTATATTATTAATAACAAAATATATTACATTGTTAAATATTATTGAAAAGCTGTTTCAAATGTGAAAGGTTGTAGCAAATTAACTATGTGATTTGTACAAAAAAATTACATTGTTAATGAAATTTTATTAAACGAGTCTAAAAATAAACTAGCGGTGTATGGCATCGTGCCTTAAGGCAAATTGCTGGAACTTTACGTACCGTAATGAAATATTCAAGAAATTTTAAACGTTTTCAAATATATTATTACAATTAATGTAACTTTCATTATTTTTTGCTATCTTTTGTTATATCTGAGCAAATCAAATGTAAATCAAATCAATTTATCTCCAAAACATTAACAATCGTCATTTCATTTCAAATTCAATTTAAAAAAAAAAATAGTTGCCTAATTTACACAAAATTGAAAAAGTGCTCCCATATAGTCACAGTCTAAACGCATTTGCAAATAATTCTGTGCGACATTTTCACTTATACTGTGCTTAGCTTGGTGGCATTTTTCAATAGTTAGTTTTCACAAAATTGGAAAATTGCTCCAGTACATAAACAGTCTAGACGCACTGGGGTAAGCATTTGTACTAGAGTGGTGCTTAGACTGTGCTTAGCCAGGGTAATTTTTTTATTTAAATTTTTAATTCTTTGAACAGCTGTAATGTCTGTTTTGCCTAAAAATATTTTCGATTTCGATTCGATTCGATTTCTTCGAACGGGGTAAAATATTCTTCTGATTCAGGCATTTTTCGTTAAATCAAGTTTTGTACTACGATGTAACTCAAAAAGGTTTATTTATCTATGCCGATTTTCTTGTTGATATCGGTACGCATACAACGGCAGAACTCTATTCACATACATGACTACTGATCACAATCGACCCGTATAGAAATGATATCATCGAGAGCGAATGACGAATCTTTGGCACTCGACTCTTTATCTAATCGGCTCTTATCTGCCGTAACGCACTTCCGTTGCACTTGTACGGATTTACACCCTAGTCGCGCCTAAAGAAGTTTTACTTCAGAAATTTCTCCCACTTACATTTTTCGACTTTCATCCTTTTCAATTCCCGATCGGCCACATCCGTCCTAACTTCGGCGTAGCTGTCCCTTAGGTCTTCGCGTTGGGCGAGGGCTCGAACCGGGTTGCGCGAACCGGCGCGTCTGCCACGCTGTGCCTGCACAGTGCGCCTTAGAACCAGCCTAAAGAATAAAAAAATAACATTAAATACATCTCCAGAAAATACTTGTCATTTACCATCTTACATTTGTCGGGCGTCCTTAGACACCGCGTCCAGGTCGACGCTGTCGATCTCGACAGAAGAATTGTTCGAAGGGGGAGTCTCTGTGGCGCTCAGGAAGAACGCGTTGAATGTCTCGTCGTCTGTACGGGGTATCGGCACGCTCACACCTCCTGTATCTGAAAAAAAAACACAACAAATATGTTAAAAATGACGCTGACGTAATAAAAAAAGAGTAACTATTGTGTAGCGACATATGATGGTAAGAATAGAGAGTGTAATTAGAGATAATGAATAAGTAAAGAGATTATACAACTATGTATGAATGGTTAATCCTCCTAAACTATAATTCGGATTTTCATGAATCTTCCTGAAATTTGATCGGGAAAATTTCTAGAACTTTTAGATTCATAGAAAGTTAGATTGTAGAAATAAATGGAAAAAATTACAAAAAACCGCTTATCATTGTTTGACCTTGAAAATATTTGAAGCTTAGTTTGACATTAAAAACAAATAAAGACTGTCATTTGCCAAACATTTCTATCCACTTATAGGCTAAGGCTATCTTAGAATATAATATAATCATGATTATGAAGGAGAAAAATGTAATGACTACATTATTATTGCCGAAAAGCAGCTGAGATGTGCCAGAAATTAAAATAATATAAGATTTACAGTCAACATCTAGCAGGTGATGCAGTCTGCGCATGCGTCTGTCAGCGATCGCACATAAAACTTAGCCTATAATTCACTTCGACTGATTATTATTTTTTAACTTTTAAATGCAGTCGTGTTTATAAAAAATTACTTATTCAAAAAATTATTTAGAAGTGTCATTGTGTCAAATATTCATATATTTGGCATTGGATACGGAATATTTACTCAAGTCAATAGGAGCGTTTTGGGCCTGAATTTTTTTACTGTGCTCCAATTTGTATGAATTTATGGAATTAGGTTCATCTTACTCTCAAGTTCAAAAGTGAAAATAATTTAGACTCCTTTGCCACTTCCCGGTTGGGATGACATCCTTTTCTCAGTGATGTAGTATTATTATTTTTTTCAAAATAACGTCAGATATCAATAAAATAACTAATTATAAGAGAAAATGTTTCATAATGTTTTTCAAAAAAGCAAATACGTTTCAAGTTACTGGCTACTGAAAATTCGTTTCTCTTTGGCGTTTTTCATCGTTTTTTGTTGTAAATATCTCCATTTTAACTAAAAATCATGTAATGAACAAAATATGTTAATTATAATCTTAATAAATTGGTGTTTTATAAAGTGTTCTAGGAACAATATTAAGCTAGATATAAAAATGGGGTTTTATAGTGCTCAAAATAAGCTTTAAAATGAGTACTTCTACGTGTAAAATGAGTGAGCTATCATGCAAATAAAAGACTCATACAATGTTTTTTTTTTTAATTTAAATCAAATAGTTTATGAGTGCCATTTCCACCAAAATTAGAAATAATCGTATTCCATCTAGAATTAAATTGGTTTAAGAGATATTGATGGATTTTAGAAAATATCACAACTTTAGTACAAACGATTTTCAAAAAACTCATGTTTTGATGAAAAAAAAATCTATATAAAAAAAAGAACAATTCCTCATTATTATATATCCGAAAGATTAAAAGATACGTATAAAGGTATATAGATGAAAATTCAAGGTTTTTTTCTGACTAATTATTGCTTTTTATTATGTTTCTGTTACACAAATATTGATAAAGTTATGATTGTTTAAAGAGTGCACGACTGTCCAACCAAAGTGTCTTTCGAACCCTTTAACCCTTCGCCGTTTCAAAATAAGAGAAATTACGGTAAAATTTATGATAGAGAAAGTTGTAGCTCATTTAATTACCTTTAAAATAGTATATTACAAGTTGTGATAAAATCAGAATTAAAAGAGTTATAATCCAATTAATGCGGGGGATGGTGACGGAGTGCAAATCTGAACTTACGACTAAGATTAACATATTTCCAAAATATTAAGCAAATTGGAGCACAGTAAAAAAGTTCACAGGGCACACGCTTTTTTCCTCTCCATTTACTGCACTAATTTCATTGATCGCAGATTGAATAGTGCACATATGAGCAGGATTTGACAAATTAATTCACTTCAAATATGAACTTAAGTAATAATGTATATGAAAATTACCGGAATTGAGGTCCTGTTCGGGTGCTCCTGGAGCAGAAATGCTCCTCTTGAAGGGCGATCCGGAAACAGTGCTCGTCAACTGTGTAGCAGAACTGGGGCCAGTTGCAGTTGGGCTCGTATTGGAAGAGATTGCTAGAAAAAAAATAGAAAATAGAATATTGCCTTGAGGTAAGTTGTATGAACTTTCTAATATTTGTGAATAATCGACTTAATCAATAATAAATGTGATTTGTAGATGATTTATATGTAGACCTGACTACTGTCTGTACCTGTCTATTGGTCGATCTGTCTATTTGCCTGTCTACTTTTCTATTTATCTACTTGTCTATCTGCCTACCAAAAAATATTTTTTAATAAACCAAATGACATTTTTTAACTTTTCCTTACCAACGAGCATGTCTTGCCCTAAATAGGAACCAAATTTGCATTGAATTATTCAAATTGGTTAATCCGTGCTGCCGAAATCGTCGACGAAAGATTGAATTCGCATATATATTTAAACGTAAGAATATGTCAAAAAATAACTTCACTATAATTTTATTATAATGAAGTAATTAGACTGCACTGCATTTTTCATTACAATAAATGCAGGATGCAATAATAATAAATAAATTCGCAATGACCAATAACCGTATCATGTACATGTAATGTGTAAAGTAACCTTTCACTTTCTTATCCGTCGACATATTTGCAATACGTACGTGTATAGTCACACTTATCGGAAATTATCGAATCGAAAACATTATTTATAGATACATACACACATACACTAAATTTTATTACTATCAATGCATTTTACAAATACTTAGGAAGAAATTAATTTAGTTTAATGAAATAGGATTCTGCAAAACGTCGAAGATTTTTTTTACTTAGGAACAAATTAATTTAGTTTAATAAAAAAGGATTCTGCAAAACGTTCAAGAAACTTTCTTTTTCATTCATGATGAAGGAATTTGATAAAAATTAGTCATATATTCAAAAAACATAATTTCAAATTGCAAATATTTATTTTATTTATTTTTCAGAAATTTGTCGTTTTTGTTTTAATATAAGATTTCAAGTTGCTTCATGAGAATTAAAACTATTTATTAACTATTTCATTAAATAAGTTTTTCCGTTTTCTAAACTTGTAGTTAAATTAATAATATTTAGTACTCTAGTGACAACAACTATCCCCAAATGGAAACTCTCCGGTTTTATGATCAAAACTAAATTTTTTGTGTGTATAAGATAGTTAGTTTTGAAATTTCAAAACAAAGAGCATCATTGCTTTTAATTAGCCTTCACACACTTTTATTACTATCAACGCATTTTACTGAGGATAAATACTTAGAAAGAAATTAATTTAGTTTAATGAAATAGAATTCTGCAAAACGTCTCTAAGTCAACTTTTTTTCCTCTTTACAGAATTGTGGAATTTTCAACAAAATTGCGACGAAAATTGCTCAAATGATGCAAAAAGATAATTTTGAATTACAAATATTTCAATTCAGAAACTTATAAGATTTCGAGTTGCATTAATAATATGCAATACTGCAATGACAATATAAAAATGTTTACTCTAAAGTATTTTATTTTTATTTTATTATAAGACTTGATAATTTTAATGCAACTTTTTGATAAACTTGAAATTTTAAAAAATTATTTTATAAGTGTATGTGAATAAACAAGCCGTACTTCTTGTTAGCACAATTTGCATAACCTGAATTTAGCACGGAAGACTTTATAAAAATTAGCAATAAATTACATGATTATGAATATTGGTTTTCTAATTTTAGACAATATGGATAAATTAGGCAAGAATTTTGGTGTCACTTGGCTAAATTAAAATATTAAAACTATTTTTGTTTTAAATCTTAATCTAATTAAAATGTTATTTGAGTATCGTAAGTGGAGGAGCAGAAACTAAAAAAAAAATCTTTTGTTCTTTTATATTAAATACAGTTTTATTTCTACTCATCGTCGAAATCTATATATATATAATATATATGAGTAAGTTCTTCAAGGGCAATACATCAAATAAAAGGCAAAGATTTAGAAGTTAATCTTTAATTTTTTACAAACGTTTCGATATAGAATTTTATGTCATCATCAGTGGATATAAATAAGGTCTTAAATCACAACTGCCTCGGGAATGTACACATAAACTACTCTTTTCGTGCAAAATATATTTTATTGCTATGCTTTGTTCAACAAAAACAAAAACACAAGTTAATGTATATATGATAGTGCAAAATTATGTGCCATACGCTAGTTACTGATTTAAGACAAACTAACTTCTTTAACACATATATATATATATATATATATTATATATATATATATATATACAGACAACCCTCCGTTAACGTGGCACTCCGAAAACGCGGTCTCCATACTACGCGGAGCTAAAAATGCGACATCCCTCCGATAACACGGACTTCCTATTACAAGGTTTTCGTTCAACAGCCTATATGTATTTTTGCGCAACCTATTAATCACTCTAGTAACTAGATATTAAAATGGTATCAGTGTCAAATTGAAAACAATATTTCAGAATCAAGTATGGTATTTTTTGACGATACTATTTTAAAGTAAAGGGCAACATATGCGTAACAAGCTGCGTGTGACAAAGGTGATAAATGTTGTGAATAATAATAAACAAATGAGATGTTTAATACAGTCCACAGCTACAAGGGTTAAATTATAACCCAGCAACTTGAATTATCGAAGGAGAGTTTTAATAAATTCTATAACTACGTAACATAGGGTACAATAGTTTTCGATAGTCGCAGTTGTGTGTCTGATTTGAATCATGTGTTGTGTATAATAAATAAGTTTTTGTTATCAAACTCACCAGTCCTGCTGCGGAATCTATTCATCGGTGGGCACCTCCGTTTTCTCTGATCGTTCGACGTGGGTGTTCCTGCTCCGCCTGCTCCAGCCACAACGGCTAACATTGACCGCGACTTTTCCACCGCCGGCATTCGGCCGGCGACAGAGAATTTGCCTGCGTCGGCCGGGGCTACCCTCCTCCTCCAACCCTAAATAATAATAGACATATCATATTATAAATACACACACATATATATATATATATATATATATATATATATATATACTAGCTGACCCGGCAAACGTTGTTTTGCTAAGTAAGGTATATTCCAAACAATTTCTAGAGAATCAAAAATATTAATACTTTAAGTGTATAAGGATGTGTTGTTTGATTGCTATATACAATAAGGTATTATAAAAACTATAAACCCCATTAGTTTGTCAATATTTTGTCTGGAAGTTTTATACACTTTCTATAGAAAACATGGTATAATCCAATCCAAGTCTTTCTTGGTCTTTCGACTTATTGATTACGTTTCAAGTTTTTCAGATGCTTTTGAATTTTGGATTTTGTGTCTAATTGTAAATAATACTACGGAGTCTGTACAAAATTTTCAAATTTCTGCGAGGATAGATAGAAAATAAATTAAGTATTTCTTGCTTGACCTGCTTTTTGAAAAGTTTCAAGTAACATTCGATGAATTAAAGTAAATTTAATAAAAAGTATATATGTAGAGCAGGGCGAGGCACAAAAGTCCAATTTGACTATGAGCAAATATTAATAATTATATTATAAAAATCAAACCAATTATATCACAACGAATAACACATTTCAAACGAACAATTATCTAACTACGTTCAGTAAAACTACCAGCTGCTTCGTCATTGTAGAAATTTGCTTTTTTGGTGTCTTTCAAAAATTCTTTATCTAAACATTTTTACCCTATAGGAGTGGTAACTTGGAACGGCCAGGTGGCAAACAGGTTTAATGTCTAATTTTAATTTTAAAGGTATTTTACAAAATAATTACATTTTTAACTAATGCTTAAAAAACTACCAACGGAAGAAAATACTTTTATTATGGATTTTCAAAGATTATTTATATCTCCGATAGCAAGTCATGAGAATCAAGGTTATAGCTGGTTATACAATTTTTCCCTCTACTTTCAAATATTGTCGTTAAACAATGCTTAATTTTACTGGTTACATTGGTGGTGAACTTTTTTAACACCGGACCTTTCATATATTACTATCTATTCTTCGATAAATTCTGGGAAATTATAACTGGGAAAATGTTATTCGACAAAATGTCCATTTGATCGATACCAAATTTAGGTTCTGAATTTAAATAACATAAATAAAAAATAATATAACCTAGAAAATGTTTTATAAATACCAATGAGTATATAATTATACAAATGAGATCTTTCAGAGCACCGTGTTTGAGCAAAATATGCCAAAAAGTGCATTTTCATATTAACATTTCAAAAAAGTTGATATTTTGAGTTTCTAGTAACACTTGCGGCCCGTTTACTAACGATTTTGTGTAGAAATAAAACTACAAACAAAACTACTTACTACAATTTAATCATAATTAAATAATATTCACGTAAAACATCCTATTAAACGTAATTGAACATCATCTGTCAAAAACGTTTGACATTTGACGTATTAGCCACCGTCCATTGTTTTATTTAAATTACGCTTCTACAAAAATGTTCAAATTAAAATGTAAAGTTTCTACGCGGATTTCAAATAATATCTCACCTTTCCGACAACCTACTGATTGGCACGAATTTTTCAAGACTAAGACTGGCCAAATCGGTTTAGCCGTTTTCGAGTTTTAGCGGATCATTTTATCGAGATATATATACATATATATATATATATATATATATATATATATATTTGTATCTATTTACCTGTGAAGCAGTCTCCAGACATTCCAATCGTTCTGCCAAGACAGCTGCTCCAGAATCCTGCTGTGCAACAATTTGCGACTGCTGCGAATTGAACTGATTTTGCTGCTGCTGCTGCAGCTGCAGCACAGGCGGCGGCAGAATGCAAGCAGGCTGTGGCGAACTCAATAAAGGTTCCTAAAAATATAAAAAAATGAATTAATCTATTGGCAATTTTAAAAATTATATATATATACTAGCTGTCCCTGGCACGCTTTGCTGTGGCTAAGTGACTTCAGTAATTATTATACATTGAATCAATTTTACTAATGCTGGAATAATCAGATGAAATTTTATGAGAAAAATTTAGAATTTAGAAAAAAAATATCAATGAATACACACTAATAAACTTATGTAATAAACAATTTTTTTGCAATGATAAATATTGAGAACAATAATTAAAACCCAACCCAACAATAATTAAAACCCAACATAATCTTGTAAGATGGAACATATTATAAAGGATTACAAAATTGTATCAAAATGAGTCAAAATTGTATCAAAAGTAAT